ATCACAGTGGTCTCTCTTAGAGCAGGTTTTTATTCCATTTTGAGCCTGAATTCTGCTTAGCTTCAGTGTCTGGGAAATGACTGGAGGGCTCTGTTTGCAGCTCCAGCAGGAGGCACTGGCAGAATACGAGGAGAAATTGAAAACTCTGACTGTGGAGGTGCAGGAGATGGTGAAGAACTGTGTGAAAGAAGTCTTTCCTGATGGGCCAGAGATTCAGAAGGAAGCAGTTTTGAGCATTCCTGTGGAAGAACAAGGCTCTACAAAGCAACTGGAAGAGAAGATCCCAGGGGCAGAGGTGTCAAGACTGACAGCAGCTATGGCTGAGCTTCCAGGAGCTGAAACAGACGTCAGTATTGAGGAAAGCATACTGTGAGCAATGCTTCCAGTGCTGTTCCACTTCAGGCATGTTTATGGACATATGTAATGACCAGCTCGACAAACTACTCTCTCTTTCCATGCTGGATAACTCCTGAAATCCTTCAGGAATTTACTACTTTGTTATTCTAGGCGTTGGAAATAGTCCAAGGAGCTCACCTTCAGCGAGCGCTTCACTCTCCTTAGCACTAAGGTGTGTTTCAGCAGTGGGGCTGAAGACGAGCTGGTTGTTGACACTGACAACAGCATCTACATTAATATTTTGGCCTGGGTTCAGTTGTCAGTTTTCAAAGCAAGATCCCTCATTGCCTGTTCACCTCATAGCAACCTCAGAACTAGATCCCTCTAAACAAAATATAACTCTCCAACAGTCCACTGACAATGCTCCAACCAGCTGAGAGCCAGCCTGGAAAAAAGGCCCCTGAACTGCATGCCAGTAGAAGTCCCAGAGGCTCAGGAGAAATTGATGCTCGCTAAAGTGGCATTCCACCAGGCAACAGTACCTTTTAATAGGTAACTACCTACTACAGACCCTTTGTAGGAGGAAAGGTCAGTTTGAATCTCCTATCTTTTTGTTTCTTAGTATGCAACTTCCTTGCGCAACCATATGGGCTTTTTAGTTGTTTTTTTCTTCCTCCACAGTAAAATGAGGATAGTTTTCAGTGCACTGCTATAAAATATAAAACAGCATTTCTTTCTGTGGAAATGTGCACTGCCAGCACATTTTCTTCTTTCTTTTCAACCTCCTCTTACCCCAGAGGCTGATTCTCACTCCCAATTTTGACTTTACCACTTTGGTATGCCTTCAGGCAAGTTCCTAGATCTGGATCCAGTATCTCTTAAGACCCTTCCAGTCTTCAGCAGGCTCATTGGACAATTACAAGGCACACTATGAAGAGCCTAAGAGTATTAGAATGGGTTCATGCTATCACAGACACACGTGCAGATTCTTTATTACCATAATTAGATACTTATAGAACACCACTGCAACTTTTGCCCATGAAGCTAAATTAGCTACATGCTACCTAGTATAGCAACCTGTACCAAAATCTCTAAGCTACTTGAAAATAATTATGTTGCTCAAATAAAGAGCCAGACAGTTATATCGCCCATAAGAGTATCTAGCACAGAAAACTGAGCACAGAAAACACATCACAATCTATTCAGTAGCAGAAAGAAAAGCAGATCTTTGAAGCTTCCTTTACCCTGTTAATGAATGACAACAGTGGGCTCAACAGTGATGAGAACAGTCTGCTCCTGGGAAAGCCCAACTCCTCAAATAATTCCCATGTTCTTTAGGACCTGGAGTGTAAGACACACACTACTTCTGTTTGAAGGTATAGTGTTCACACCTTTCTCCAAAGCTTCAGTCACTTCCCATTTCTCCATGAATTACAGTCACCTCCTACTAATAACAATTTCCCCCCTTCGGTGACATAACAAGTCTTGTTCCACAGCCTCACTGAAGGAAAGCTGCCCAGCTGCATGACTTGAAAGACAAATGGTTCTCAGCCTCTTTTAGTCCTAGCAGATACCTGCTGCTGTCTGTCTTCACTCGCACAAAACCTTCCAGCAGAACGTGCATGGAGGGCCAGGTTCCCAAGATCTTGGCTTTGTCTTGCAACAGAAAAAAAGGGCACATTCCTCTTAGCCATCTTTACACTTCCACTTTCTAAGACAACAAAGCCTTATTTTGTGAATGCAGAACTTACATCACAGTCCCATACCTCCACACTTACTTTCTCTCACCTGTGTTATGACTGTGCATTGAACGGCTTTGGCACAGTGAGTTCTCATTCATCCAGAAGGAAGGAACTGGAAACATATGGCCCAATTCTTTTCCTAGCACCATGTAAGACAGACCTGGCTTATGGATCCTAAAAAAGCAAGAAATAGCAATGCTTTAGTACAGAGCAGAAACATGCTGGCCTTCCTCCTATCAAATCCTGTATGTCTTAACACCAGCAGCTACAGCCCCTTGCTTAATGCACCTGTTTGGGCAGCCACGCCACCACAGAGCTGCAGAGGGTGGAATATCTTTAAACCCAGCTGTGGCAGATAAACATATGAGAATACAACCTGCAAAGCTGTTCTTGTTAGTGAAACCTTTGCCCTTAAGTGGAGACCATGTGTTCCTGACTGCAGCAAGAGTTTCTCTCCCCTCCCTAGAATGTGCCACTGCAGTATCACCTATTAGTCTTCCCCACCCCTTGACTTGTTCTTCAGGTTTCTGTCTTTTCTGGAAAAGTGAGCTCAATTGTGGTGAACCTACAGCATGCAGTGGTTGTCACATGAGAGTTGTTACACCTCGAAACTGCACTGGGGAACGCATCGTGAAGTGCTGCTATAAAAACCAGCTCAAGTAGGTATGAGATGAGATGTTTCAAATCTGGTCTGACATGCAAGAAGAGACTATACCTCCCTGTGATGTTAACTTAGTACTGGAATTGTGTATTATACATTGCTGACGTATTTATTTTCTAAAATAATAAAACATTGCATTTCTTACCAAAAAAAAAGAAAAAGAATCACCTTCTTTACTTCCTATATTGAGGTTAGTGGATATGGGTTCAAGTCCCACATGTTACCCAACATACACACAGACTGTAAGTATGCACAGATCTCAAATTCAGCTTCTTCAGTTCCTAAATATGCCATCACCTCCAAGCAGAACATCATTCTCTTGACAGCCTTTCGAAAACAAATTGGTTAGAGGAAGCAAGGGCTGAAATAAGGCCAAAGTGCTCTTTGTGAAGCTGTAAGGGTGTGGACATTGAAAACAAAAAAATCACAGCTCAGCTAGACTGCGATGCAGACATAAGAAAATTCAGCAGATTGGACTCGTGTTATTAATACCCTGAGGAAGAAAACTCACCACGGTGACTCGTACCCTCATACCACATCAGTCTCCATTGTGCAACTCTTCTGCTATTAAAGCACTAGCACAGCTTTATCAGGCAAACTGTGCAGAAGTGCATGAAAAATAGGTGGTTCTTCCTTCAGAACTCAGACATCTTGGAAGATTTCTCCATATAGCTGTGTAGCCCTGCCTGTGATTTCCCTTACCACAGGATACTTGTTGGCTCACTTTCCCACATAGTCAAGATTTACTGCTTCCCATTATCCCCACTTTACAGACAAGGGCCTGAGGCACAGTGCAACAATTTCTCTGGGCTACATGGAGAAGAAGCATGGGATTCCTCTCACCACACTGAGCAACCTTAAAAGTTGGGAGCCTCATCTCATCCAGAGCCCTTCTGTAATCAGTGGTTAAAAGAAAGGGGCCTCTGGAGGAAGATTCCTCCCATTCTGAAATGAATGAGATACTAAGCAGCTGCAGCTGCGAGCACAGAGCCCTGTTTGACGAGGACAGGCACCATTATATACACATAAGTGCAACTGGGAGATGACAGTAGACGCAGGCTCCCAGTTTGATTTAGCAAATTGTTCATCTCTATTCCACCTGCCAGCTTCAAAGGCCAGGGCTGAGACAGCACGGAAAGGCACCATGTCTGCAAGGCTGGCAGAAAGGAAAAGATAAAGCAACATTTGGGGGAAACATGACACAAAACAACAGAGAACCCTGAGATACAAACGTAACCTTGTTGGAAGCCAATAGAAGATATTCAGAAAAAAAAAACCACAAAACCAACATCTCAAAGCATAAATTACCCACTGAGTAGGCTATGAGGTGTTTCGAGCAGAGGCTGCATTTTGTAATGTGCTTAGATATCAATTACCACATGAGAAAGCTGGCTACAGAACATCACTGCAATGCAAATCTAAAACTTGCTTTGCTTATCAGAGTTCTCCTGGCTGGCTACACTGCTCTTGGGAGGGCACTGGGAAGGCCCTGGAGACAGCTTCGATCTTCATAGAAATCACAGGTCTGTCTTAGGATTTGTATTCCATTGTGTGAACTCATCTTAGTAACTGTACAGAGAGAAGCACATGAATCAGTACTGAGAGGAAGATGGATACTTCTGCATTCTTCACAAATACGATGATAGGAGCAAACTTTGAGCTAGTTTATTAAGCTGTCGCAGAACCAAGGGTAGATGTAGTAGTTAGGGACATGATTTAGTGACAATAGTGGTGGTGGGAGGGTGGTTGGACAAGATGATCTAGAGGTCTTTTCCAACCTTAATTATTCTATGAGTCTATGAGGTTTAACAATTTTCTAAGACATTTGAATCCAAGCTGCCAAGGGTCTTTCCTTCACTGTGTTTAGACAGATTTAGGCTGAAGGAGAAATGGCATTAAAGCCTAACGCTGTCATTTTTCACTCCAGTAAATGCATGTTTCAGAACCCAGGCCTTCTGCTATGGTCTTTACCTGTTGTAAAAGCCACACAGCCACAGAATAGATAAGTTACACCAGACTTTGAGGTGCACGTCCTTCTTCCCTTAAAACTCTGAACTATAGACACATTTTAAAGCATCTCAGCAATGCAACAAGGATATGAATAAATCAAGGTCTACTTTAATTTAAAACACAAGTGCAAAGGATTCACAACTACAGGTGAGCAGGATCACTTGTTTCAAATTATAAATCTTCTTAAAGCCCTGCTCTTTTGCATTAAAAAAAAAAAAAAAAGCAGAATATCTGGAATACAGAAACATTTTACATCAAAAACTTTCCAGTGCAGCTCAGGAAGAGCTAAGCAAATTCATTTCAATTAGCTTTATGAACCCCAAAATCAGACATCCAGTCGGTGCAGACCACTACGATCACTCTACTGGCAACAGGTAGAGTGGTATCGAGAGGCAGCATCCTCATCCCTCAGCAGGCATCTAAGTACTGGAGCTGAATCACCCTCTGGAGGTGCTCCTCTCACCACGGTCTACAGAGGCAACTGATGTGCTTCGCAGTCTGGGCGCCCACCATTTAGGTGACTGACAACAGTGCAGATGAATTCCATCCCAAATTACTTCAAGTAATCAACTGTGGCTTCAATTCTGAAGCAGGATCTATCATTGGAGTAAACACCAGAGGATAGAGTTTATCAACATCTTCTGAAGAAAATGCAATGGAGAGTATCTGAGACAGCACGACTGTCCCAAGAATAACTTAATTTTCAATAAATTTGTATCTGAGTTTGAAAACGGGATCCCACTTTCATACATAGGACACATTCTTGAGACCTCACAACAATATGCACCACCACTGTACAACGTGACATCCTGACCTAGAGTCCAATTACCTCGACTATCTCACTGATCAGAAACTGCATCATACAAAATACCTAAATCTATTTAAAAATAACTGTGAGAGCTGCTTAGACAACCAGAACCCTTCTGAACATATCACCAAGGGGGTGAAAGGGGAAGGACATACCAATTACAAAACATACATCGAAAGTTGCCCTTCTCCCCATGTTCTGCAGTAGCAAGCAAGGGAGAGGTAGGCTGAACAAATAGCCTTGCTGTGCACATAAAGATCTCTCCTGGGATATTGGCAGGACAGCTGAAACTTCTTCATTCTGTTTTCCAGAGCATTCCCAAGGCGTTACCCCTCCAACGGTCTCCCCTCCAAAAGTTTAAGGTAATGAAATGGATTCAGGACTGACCACTAAACCATACATATTTCTCAGCAAAAGAGAAGCATGTTGATGCAAGAGAGCCATTGGAAAACAAATATGTACGTATCACATCTGCTCCCTGGGAAAATATGTACAGCATTCTACATCCACATTTAACTGAAGATTAAAATTGTCTGTGGAGAAAAAAAAATTGTGAAGTCATTGTGCATTGTTGGAGACTTGAAAGGCATCTGTGCCCCACAATGTACAGTTAGGTGAGCTCAGTACTCCAGTATGTCTGACAAAGGGAAGGTCACATTTCTAGTTGGGAAATTTTGTTTCAGTTCAGTAGTCAGCAGCCATGGTTTGCAGGAACTTGCAAGCATTCAGATACACAACCTCAGATCCACATACAAACGCCATTCTTTGGAAGAAGTGATCCAGAAGTCATCCAGCACCTGCTTTGCTTTCGAGAAAAACACGGTCTTATCGAGTATGCATTGATTGTCTTTAGCAAAAAGAAGTCACAAAGGCAGAGAACACAAGGACCCATCCTACGAGAAGACCACTGACGAGTTCCGAGCACCATTCACAGGACAAGACTGCCTGGTCTCCTGATTGTCTGTTACGTGTTACCTTCTCCCAGCATCTTCCCTTCCGTGAAGTCAGCAGGTAGAGGTACGCTTTCTGTATTGCTGGATAAGGGGGACCAGGCACTCTGGGAGCCCTGTCTGCAGCAGAAAGGGATGATCCAGAAGTTCCTGTGCCGTTGCTCTTTCTAGCGGCTCCCGTGTCAACATCCTTTCCAAGAAGTCTCTCAGAACTGGAGAAGTCTGTGAAAAAGCAACCAACAAATTCAAGCCCATAAAGCAGAGAGGCAATATTTGACAACAGGCTACCAAGGTAGCATTGCTTCATTCAACTTTCTAACTTTAGTTTCTAAGATGAATGCATGCCGTGTCCTTAAACTGAAGCTAATTTTGTTTTCCATTTTGTAATTTGCTCCTTTCTGGATTTCAGTTCTTCCTGCTCCCTGAGGCACACCAACTTGGGTGTGAAGGGTTGGCCAATTCCTTCTTTTATTGGCCAGAGAAGTGTGGGAAAAGTATTTAAACTGGACTCCCAAGTAGGTTTTGAGAACCTGGAAACTTGATGCTTGAGATGATTAAGAAAATGCAGAGCAGCGTACCATGTAAGCATGGTAGGGATGGGTGGACAGTTGGACTAGATGACCAAGAGGTCATTTCCAGCCTTAATGATTCGATTTCTATGATGAACTAAATTTCCTCTGCCCTTTAAAATATGCACATTGAAGCCAGTTGAGTAGCCAGGCTCAAGAGCCGCTGAAAGGCTCCGCTCATCTCTTGCTGATAGTAATCTTCTGTATCATTAAAACTGAATAAAAAATGAACTTGGTATATATTTATTTATTTTAATGCCACTAATTACATCCATTTTAGACCGGGGGCATTTTCTTAGCTCTGGTTAGCTCAGCAGTAGATCACGAAATGCTGTTCGCTGTGAGCTACAGCTTGTTTCATGAGTGCTTTGAACAACCACTGTGATGGCCAGAGGGAAAAGGCACAACACAGCTGAGCACCAGGACCCAGCCTTTATCACCCTGTCAGTAAACCTGCCTACACTTTAGAAAAGCAGCAGAGACCATTCCAAGGGGTGTCTGTTAAGCTTGTTGCACCCCATACCACAGTAACTGACCTCAGTGAACCGTTATGGGTAATCAGAATGGAGGGCTGAATTCACAGCAGCTGCTGGGCCCCATTTCGGAGAGCAGGAAGACAGGAGGATGGATGTGAAAGCCTTATGAAAGGCTCTAGCTTTCACAGCCTGCAATGGGGTCATCCTACCAAGTGATGCAGACCACAAATGGTTTTACACTGCCTATGCGGGTCCTGAATGCGACCCTGATGTTTTAATTAGGGTTGCAAAGGCAAATAGGAAAGACAGCAGCTGTCGATGTTTGAGTGTATGCTGTTAGCTCAGAAGTCTGCTCTGTTAAATAATTCAGGTTTAGCAGCTGAAGATATTCTGATTAATTGGAAAGGCCGGAGAGCTCAGAATGCTGCAGAAGCTATTTGATCTCAGAGGCTTGGACTGAAATGAAAGGAGGACTGTTCTAAGTGAGGACTAAAAGGTAATCACTCTATTTCTTATGTCACTGATAGTTTTTCATAAGAAACCATGAAGATGAGCTAATCTTCAAAGCACGTGCAGCATCCTCCACGAGCTGCTGCCTGTACTGAGCTTTCTTGCTCTGACCATAATGCAGCCTTCACATTCCTGAAAGCTGCTGAGCTGGAAACTCTCAAGAGCAGCAAGCCTCCTGTTTGCTTCCCTGAAAGATGAGCAAGATATTAAATACTGACTCCACCTGCAGCAGCTTTGATTTGCACCATCAGGTTTATCCCCAAGCGACCTTACATTATTAGGACTGTTTCCCAAAACAGCCACTAGCTGTCAGCAGCAGCTTGCATCCATGGAGGCACCAGGACCAAAGAAGATCCCCCAGAAACATGTTCTAGCATGGCCACTTTCACAGCCAGCTTTACAGAGAACAGCTGGTACGTGTGTTTCCCTATGATAATCATCAGGTTCACAAGTGTTTTGCCAATATGCTCACCCTGTGGAAGTTTTTCAGTTTGGGAGGAGGACTGTCACGGAGTCTCTTCATGGCCTGGACTGGAGAATCACTGAAATAGGGGGGTTCTCCATCCACCATCTCTATCACCATGATCCCCAGAGACCAGATGTCCACCTGTGGGGACAATGACATGTCTATACACACAGCTCAAAGCAACAGGTCCTGGCTTTGTTGCTTTCACAAAGGTTACAACACCCACTCCACCCCAACGTTACTGGGAGAGTAACACATCAATCCCCTTGATGCTCTTGGATCCCTCACTGCAGTTTAACAAAGACAGCTTTCCACCAATCCACGCTGTGATTGCAACATCCAAAGGTCTGCAAGCAACCGCTTGTGCTATGCCTGGACAGTTGTTGAACAATACAAATCCAGCTGCTGCCACCTGCCCATATTTCAGAGCTCCCATTTGTGCCTTCCCTGCTCTCCTCCCCACCCTTTGTGGCACCGATTCATTTGCTGATCCACGTATCATCACAGACTGCTCCCTGCTAACATCTGTCCACACTGTAGTGTACACAGGCACATGCCAATCTTCAGGTAGAAAGACAGGGTAAGTTTACACCTTGCTCCAGGAAGCAGAATTGCTTCAGGTCATGTTGATACATCACATTCAGATCTGCAGTCACTGTTAGGTTTCTATTCCAAAGAGAACCTAGCTGCTTTTCCAAGAGACCCTAATGCTGTGACACCTCAGAATACCATTTCCTACCTCTTCTGACATCAGGGAAGTTGTCCCTTACCTCAGTAGTGTATGGTACCCTTGCAATAACTTCTGGAGCCATCCAGTAGGGAGTACCTACCAGGGACTTTCTTTTAGGTACATCTTTACTGATCTGAGCACAGAAACCAAAATCTGAGAGCTTGACCTGAGCAAAGAGAAAAGCAATCAAACTTTAACTACATGGAACTAGATGACCTTAAAGGTCCCTTCCAACCCAAACCATTCTACAGAGAGAAGCACCAAAGGTAAAGAAGACAAAAAAGAGTAGGAAGATGACAAATAGAGACTGTAAACAGAAAGGAAATAAAGGAGCAGACTAAGGCTACAACAGCAGAATCCAGGAAACATTTTGGCCAGGGAAACCTACCCTTCCATCCAGTGTCAGAAGAATAGAGTCACTCTTAATGTCTCGGTGAATGACCCCCTGAGAGTGAAGGTAGGAAAGAGCCTGCAGCACTGATTCACACACTGTTGCAATTTGCTCTTCGTTTAGCCTGAAATTAAGGACATAATTTTTTAATGGCATTGTACTCTTCTGTGGATAGTACTATGTCACAGTCACTGTCAATGCTCAGTGCAGTTTCACATAGCTAGATAATCTGGATAGTCTCATGCTTAGCTAAAGGTAGTACAGATTATAAACAGGAGAAGACACTAAGTCTTGAATTTCAGTAATTTCTGTTAGCACGCTGTATACAAAGACCAAGAACCTCATCTTTAGCAATTTGAAATACCAACACAAGAACCCTCATGACCAAGTGAAAGAAAAAGAGTAGAAATGAAAATTCTCTCTTGTATCAGGAGCCAAAGCCAACACTTCCTGCACGTGTAGACTGACTTAAGAATTATAAATCATCACTGAAATACTTTGAGTACTTTTGATTCTCAGTGCATGAGCTCTAAGAAAAGCTGAGACGTCTGAACTCTGTGGTTCTCGAAGATAAGGAGGTATACATTCAGCATGTAATGTATGGAATTTGGTTTCAGTCAAGTGATTGCATGGTGTAAGAGAGATCATGAGGGGATTAGCTGACTCCTGGAGATGCAAATCAGTTATCACCTTCAGCAAGTATTTAATGAGGGGAATGAGGGTGTTTTCCTCCCTGTGAAAAACTGATAAAGGCTTGAAGCTTACTTTGGATAAATGCTATGGCTATAAAAGATCCTGTTTCCACTGTGTGGAAAAACAAGTATTCATTAAAGGGTTCAAAGGAAGGCTTTGTGAAATAACATCTAGGCTGACATCCCGCAATGGAATTCAGTCTCACTACATAAACCTTTCACAAGCCTTTCCAGAATTATTTTTCTAATCTGTAGTTCTATTGGCTCTACTAACATCAGCTACAGGAGTTTCACTGGCTCTGCAATGCAGTAACTCAGCACTCTTTGGGACTACACATTCTGTTTCCTGTCTGGGAGCAGATAGTGAAGAGAAACCCTGGTTCTCCATCCCTGAGATGTGCCTCGGAACAATTAGTTTTAGCAATATTACCTAACTGCAAACCAATTCTGGAGGTTGGTGGCCCTGCCTGTGGCAGGGGAGTTGGAACTTGATGCTCCTGTGGGTCCTTTCCAACTCAAGCCATTCCATGATTCAAATAAGATTCTGAATTTTCAAAAAGAGGAAAGCTTTTTCTAGAGAGGTTCTTGGTCAGTGTTTTCTTTGGAGCTCCCTGCGCTAGTTTACAGCTGTAAGAGGTGCTCCAGGGTTGGACAGACATCACCAGAACTCCTTGTGAGTGGGACTGTAGGGAGGTCATTCAAGAATAATTCCTTTGCCCTACAGAAATGTTTTGGAGATTAATGAATATGATGTGGTGTGGATACCAAAACAAATTTAGGAGAGTGTCCAGGAGTTGCTATCTTTAGGCAGCGACTTTGGGAAGGAGTCCAGATTTCAAGGCTCTGCTGCACCTTTCTGGAGGAGTTCACCACCACTTCAACCTCACTAAGGTTGCACCACTGCAAACAATTTGTGTGTTTTTTAATAGCTATTCAATGGGCTTCCTGGCCAGGATGCAATGGAGAGAGTAAACAAGACTTTTTAAGTGTACTGTGCTTTACAGGGAAGGTCATCAAACAAATGAACAGTGGGGATCCAAGGGGATCAGAAGTGTAGTGAGTTCCTTTCTCCACCAGAAGTACCACTGCATGCTTCCAATGGATGACACTAATAAAGCACAGCAGTTTCCAGGCACTACAGTCGCAAAGCATCACAAGAGCTCTGAGGGAAACTACTCCTCCCAGAAGTCTCTGATCTGCTGTTGCCTGAGGTGAAGACGAAAGCATCGATGTTTTGGGTGTTGCTTCTCACCTGATCTGAGACACAATGTCAGTGAGGGCCCCCCCCTGCAGGAACTCCATCAGTACCCAGAGCTCCTCTCCCACCAGGTAGCTCTTGTACATCTCCACTACGTTGACATGCTGGTAGTCCCTCATTATCACCACCTGGAGGGAACACCATACAGGGAACAGCTGATCACCAAAACACCACTAACACTCCCCGCAAAGTCAATACGCACAGTCACTCAACTCCCCCCAGTCGCCTCCCTCCCCCCAGCCATTCTTTTCCTTGCTTCTAGCATAATTCTGTTAAAAAGATGCCTCTGGCTCTTCCCACTCCTCCTGTTACCGTGGCTTATGGCGGGCAGCATAAACCCCTCTCTATTATAAGAACTCACCTCGTTGAAAAGGAGCTCCCGGCGCTGCTGCTTCCTCAGATCCATCATTTTCACCGCCACCTGCCGCCCCGAGTGCTTCTCTCGAGCAATGCAGACGATACCCGTGGACCCCTCACCGATCTTTATGTAATTCTCCAGCAACGTCCGCGGATCCCCTTGGTCCACCACCATCCTAAGGGCAGCTTTGAACTGCTCGTGAGTCACAACCACGGGGTCCTCGCTCACCGGCTGCCCTTTCCCAGAGGAGTCCTGGGGAAGGTGCAGGTTGCTGGAACTCGTCTGAGTCTGCCGGTTTCGGGGAGATCCAGCTGGTGACGGCCTGCCTTGGGGCACTGCTATCGCCTTCTCCGCTGTCGGTGACTTGTGGGGGGTACCGGCTTCCGAAATGAGCCTGGGGAAATCGGATGTGGGCTGATCCGGTGGGAGGGACTGGGCTTTGGCCGCGGGGCTGCGCGGTGAGCCCCACTGCTGGGGCCTGAAGAAAGCAGTAGGCTTTGGGGAAAATGGAAGCAGAAGAAAGGAAAAGTGCTGATTAGGTTAATTTGGAGAGGTAGGCATCAGCTAAATAGCAGACCCAAGGTAAGATCTCTGGGTTCTTGTCTCCAGCTGCGTGACTGGAGGAAGCTACACATTATCCACGTTCAAGAATTAAGTTGCAGAGTGGGTGCTACGCTTTAAGGAGCAATTTTGCCCAGAGAGGTTGTGGATGCCCCATCCCTGCAGGCATTCAAGGCCAGGCTGGATGTGGCTCTGGGCAGCCTGGTCTGCTGGTTGGCGACCCTGCACATAGCAGTGGGTTGAAACTAGATGGTCATTGTGGTCCTTTTCAACCCAGGCCATTCTATGATTCTATGATTCAAATGGGGCAGAGAGGCTCCTTGAGATACCAGTAACAACAACAAAACACACACACAACAAAACCCACAGTAAAAACGGCCCTTGTTAAAAAGCATTCCAGCCTCGCCACCAAAACTCAGGGGCAACCTGAGTTGCAGAGCATTTGAAAATCCTTTATCCCTCCGTGCCTCTGATCTTCCTGTATATAAAAGGAAAGAAGATTCACGCCAAAGCTGTAAATCACTTTGAAGTCTTGGCCTAATTCCCTTTGGGTAATTACACTCTGCCTACTGAAAACTCTCCCCGCACATTCTGCTGGTACCTGCAGAGTGCTGCTGTCGATCAGACACAGAGTTAAAGCTGTTTTGGGAACAGCACGGTGAAGCAAAGCAGCTGCAGGCTGCCATCCCCACAGAACCACCTGCACCTCACCCTATCCCTCACTCCCCACTGCCCTCAGTGACTTTGGATCAGAAATACACTTTCCTGGAGCACTCAAGGCCCTTTTGGAGACCTCCCGCTCGTGCTCCAAGCTGGCCCAACTCTGCTGGTTTATGAGATCTGCTAAGATCACAGCCTGCAGTGAGGTGGCTTCGGGATATGCATTCCCATGCTAGCACCACACAGATCCCCCAAGCAGGAGAAATCTTGGAGCGCTCACACTCACCCTGAAAATGCTGAGCAATTAAAACTTAACAGCATCTAGCAGGCTAGGTATAACACACATCATCCTTCCTTTGTTGCATTTACAGCAATGGTGGATCTGACAAGGCAGCACTTCAGAAGGAGCAAAGCAACCATTTGTATTACAGCACAAATAAGAACTTCAAAGCAGCTGCCTTTCTCGCTCTCACAGCTCAGACAAATTGCTAACGAAATTAATAGCACGGGCATGGGAACTGAATGAAAGCAACAGATAATTTTTTTTTTAAAAAAAAAAAGAACATTCATTTTCTTCCATTAAATAATTGTCTAGACTTTAATTTCTATGCAGCTTGGTAGGATTTGTGAGAATGGCAATATCTGCATAAGCAGAGTCCCAGACCACGGCCGTGTGATTCCGTGCTGGCACTGCGGTGCTGCAGTGCACAAACACAAACTGTCAGAAGTTACTTCCTCTTCATTTCCCAGCTCCACCCCTGCAGTCCTGTGCAGACACGCTCATGGCAACGGAATATCTATTTCCCAACTCTTGTTTTGTCTCGAAACGGAGGGAAAAAAAGGGGTTTTATATAACCTAGAGCATGCAAAAGGGCACAACTCGCATGCAAGCTCACACACGTTTGGCTAACCACACATCAGTATTGTTTCCTGCCACGGGAATGTGACAGCCCCTGTGCACACAGCTCCAGTCTCTGGACACTGTGCTATGTCAGTGTTCTCCCAATTCTCCCAGGCCAAAGCAAGGAATGTTCCACCTTCCCTGGTGCCTGCACTCAGATTTCCTGTCTGACAGCACGGTGAGTCGGACAGGATGCATGCAAGCATTCCTGTTCTAGGCAAGCTGGCAGACACAGCTACAACCAGCAAACTCCTGAAGCAGTCCTATTCTGCCAGGCAAAACAATACATACCTAATGTGTTAGTACAATTGCATTTAAGTTGTGCTTTTATAACAGCCCTCTATCTCCTTCTCAACCTACCTACCTGCAAGAGCACGGATGTGCTAACAGGGCTTTCCCATGCAGATCTGGCTGCCATTTTGAGCTGTGCTTAGTGGTATATGCTGCAAAGCTCAGGACTGTGTGTCTCCTCTAGCCAGGGCTATTTTGATTCCAGCATTAACCACAACAGCAATGGCTGGTTGTGCATTGTTTGCAATCAGATTTGCTCAGCTGCGAAAGGAACCGCTGGAAGTGTAAAGACAACACTGAGCTCAATGAAAAATACTGAATAATTGTACCTTTATATGCAGGGAAGGGCCTGACTTGTTTGAGCTGCTGGAGGAGGGGAACACGCTGCGTAACAGCCTCCTCTTCAAGCTATTCTCCCTCGATTTGGAGCTGGGGCTGCCTTCTCCTGAGGGCCTATTGTTTGCCTGGCGTATCAGACAAGGTTGAGGCCAGCACTCTTCCGAGCTCCTTTTGCCCACCTTGTCACCGTCCCCTGGCAGAGCTGGCATGTGCTGCAGACAAGAAGCACGCTGCAGACAGCTGCTGTCAGCGTCCTGGAACTCCGAAGGCCCGAGGGACTGTGCTTTCATGACCATACCATTAGGGTGAGACTGTCCATCCATCCTGGGTTTGTAATCTGGCCACATAGTCTGCCTTCGTGTCACCTTGGTCCCACCATTGCAATTGAGGTAGTTTCCGTATCTGTCTGCCCACTCTCCCTCGGGGCTCTGAAGATACATATCTGGGGGTCTGTCTTCCCCCAGGAGCCCAAGGGACTGAGCTCTCCTCCTGCTGGTGGGGCTCCTTCCCCTCAGAGTGTTGGAACTGATGGCAGAAAGCTTCTGGATATCATTGAGTATCTCAGAGATGTAGCCTTCCACTTCCACGGTGCTGCCCCTCACGACTGTCTGCAGAACACACAGGGAGAAGGTGAAAATGTTAGGACTGTAGAATTTGAGGTTCAGATTGTTTGACAAGGGTTCTGTTTTGTCTGTGTAGCCAAAGGAGACTCAGACTTCTTTAACAGAAGTAGCACTGCTTTCAGAACAGTGGCTCTTGCTGCTGCTCTTGCCACCTAATGACTAAAACAGCAGAGCAAAACTGGGATGTCGTCAGCAATTCTGTCTGCCTTCTGCTGGAATTAAGCTCCTGAAGAAGTTACAGCACACTGCAATCTCCATCTGCTGAAAACCACCTTGCTAGTCCAGTCTAAGGCCCATCTCTCCCCCGTTGCATTCTCAGCAGTGTTGTAATCAGCCTCCTTTAATCTGGTTCTCTCCCATTTTTGCTAATTCATTTTAATCTTGACCAGTGAAGACCACACTGTTCCCAAACTATATTCCTCCTCTGTTTTGCCAAGCTATTATAATTAAAAGTGACGAACGAAGGGTCACAACAGCTCACAACTTGCCTTGTAAGCAAAGGATAAAGAATAAGGCATCCATCCAAACAAGACACAGCACTGTAGAAGTAGGACATTTGAAGCTGCCAGTATATTATATAGCATTCTACCTTGTTTTTTCTAGAACTGAAAAGCTTACAGAAGCTTTTTAAGGGCTGGAAACCAAAACGTTTCATTTCTTCACAGAAATTCAGAGCACAGAATGCCTCCTACACTTTCATGAACCTCTGCCTGAGGAAAATCCTCCCCTGGAGTAATGGCAATCTCCTGTTTGCTAACTGAACACTGGGGATTTTCTAAAGATGCTGAATTAATTACACCAAGCCTAATATTTAGCTGGTGCAAAACAGCAACTCCAGTAATTTCAGCAGAATGCCACCACAGTGAGCAAAATGAACATCTGGTTCGTTCAGTGTCTGGGAGCGAAATGCATAGGAGAAAGACTTTGTCAAACAAGGTGAAGGAAGGACAACCCAACTCGTGATGCTGCATGCACAACATCACCTGTAGCAGGAATCTCTGCTCCTGTTATACCATCCTCACCTTCTAGTTAAAAGTTCTTTCAATTAGACTCAAGTCACTCCTGTTGCACTGCATTAAGTCAGTTCTATCTCCCCAGTGGGCAGTGAAGATGGGAGTTAACTGTATTCTAATGTCTTGCTTAAAGGCTGCATCAGATTAATGAGTACGCATCCAAATTCGAGCCAAATTTGCATGGAATGCTCCCACCAAGATCACGCCTTTCTAACCAAGATTTAGAAGTGATATTTTTCAAAAGAAAATTGACCTTTTCCAAGCTACTCACAGTACGTGTTAAAAAAGGAGGAAAAACTATGAAAAGTTGAATTTAGGATCTTATGCCTAAGTGCTCAGTACTTATATAAGTGCTTATGTACTTATACATAATCTTATTATTGACTGGTACCATAGAGCAGGAATTTGTTGGAATGAAGTTTAATAGAAGCCATCACCTTTTGGATACAATCTAAGAGAATCACAGAACGGTTTGGGTTGGAAGGGAGCTTTAAGATCACCAGGTTCCAACCCCCTGCTATAGGCAGAGACACCTCCCTCTAGACCAGGTTGCTCACAGCCCCATCCAGCCTGGCCTTGAATGGAGGGGGCATCCACAACCTTGCTGGGCAACATGTTCCAGTGTCTCAGTGTTTGCATTTGGACTTAATGGGGGAGAAAACAAACAAACAAACAAACAAACAAACAGTTGAAGATACTTCTCTAGTCTTTAAACACTGCTGGGTTCTCAAAGTTTTGCAACACCTTCCTGCTTTTGCTATCCACAAATGTGTGATAGGTGAAAGAACTGACCGGTATCACACTTGGGACAACATTTCTATTTTGACAGTGATGCCTCAACCTGTTCTTTGAGTATACTTTTCCTAATACTTACAAAGAATTTGCCCAGTTTGCTCTGGGAATGCCATAGGTAACAATGTCAGGAGCCTAAGGCAAGGCATAGGAGAGATCTATCATCTCACTCTGACCCAAAGTCTTCAAATGACTTCATGACTGAAGGAAACTCCATTGCTCATCATGAGTATCTTGACAAATCCTTGCTGGCTGCCAGCTCTCACCCTGTTATCTATGGGAAGTGGTTGCAAATAGATGACTTGCTTATTTGTTCCAGTTTCTTTCTGGGAATTGAAATTATTCTGCCTGATCTGTAATTCCTTGAATTTTGTTAGACCCAGCTGAACTTGAAAACATCCACCTTATTTAAGAAGTCTCATGTTTCTCTCTTATTCCAGCCTGAGCTCTTAGCCCTTTGTGCTCGCATTGTGCTTGCGAGCTAATCACAGTTAACCTTTTCAATTAAGACTGAAGAAAAATCATTAAACATTAAAAAACTCTCCGTGTCCTCTGTTATTAACTTCCTTCCAAAATGAGCAGTGAACAAATTCTTTCCTTCATCCTCCTCCTCAGTGTGCTTATGATGTTTCCTGAGTGCCCTTTATGTTCTCTGAGAATAACATCTCTCTTTGTGCCTTGGCCTCCCAGTTTTTTCCCTACATAAATTTCTTTTTTATTTGCCCTTTCTAACTTGACCTAGTTTCCACCTATCTGAGCAATCCTCCCGCAGTTTAAGCTCATTAAAGCTCTAACCAAGTTGGGCTCCTATTGTATATTTTCTCTGGTTCTATCACCTACTACGTTTACCTCAAAGCAGATTCAGGACACCACAAAACAAAGGGCAATACCTTCTCCCTTTTTATTTTGCCTATTCTTCCTGAGCAGATTTTTCCCTTATAAACCAGCATTCTGTTCAAATGATACGCCATCTAAATTGCAGGCTTGGTTTTGCATTAGTACCTGCATTATGCTAAAATATAGTCCCAGATAGTCCTCAGATTTTAAGCACAAAAGGCTAAGGATGTTCAACAGATAGACAGCTATTTCCTCTTAAGTTCCTCCTGAAATCCAAGTAGTAATATCTCTATTTTGTAACCTACCTTTCAGTTTTTAGGCCCTTGTAGGACTGGGTTTTGGGTTGTAAAAAGAGAACCAAAAGTTCCACAGGCCAGCAAAACTTCAATTGCAGCCGTTCTGTCACCACCTACCATTGCCTTTTCCCAGAGGTCAGTATGAATCTGCCTCTCTTCACATACCAGATCCCCGAAGACTTAGGAACACACAGTTATTATTGGCCATCCAAGCAAGAAAACCATCTGAGTTCACCCACCTGCAAGGATCAGTACCTTTTTCTCCTTGCTGAAGCACTAATGCTAAGGAAATTCACTGTTTACTACGTCTCACTTTCCATTCAAATGGCTGTTTTACCAACCCTGTTAGCCTAAACCCAAGTACAGCCCTGCTTCCCTGTTCTTCCTCATTCATTCAGACATTCATGAACTGCAAGTTAGTGCTACCCCGCTCTCTCCCACTCAGGCTTCCCTGTCAACTTAATCACCAGCCAAATTTGCCCACCCACGAGAATGACAAGCTGGTTATTTGAACAGTGACAGTACTGCAGCTAAGGATGCCATCGTCCTTATTTCTGATGAAGTTACTATGAACTCAAAAATAGGGTTACCAAAGCACAGACCACTCCCATCCACCGAATACCTTATGGACCCCATCCTTACTCCTCTTGAATACATATACCTCAACATTCCCACACTGCTGGCCCAGAGAACTGGAAAGAGAAGTCCCCTTCTCTTACCTTCATAGGCTGGAGCTGCATCCGGGTGATCCTTGAAGGGTCCACAACTGGCTTGGGGCGCCTCAGCGTGTCTAGAATATTCTGCCATTGAGGTGGCAGGCCCACAAATTTGCCCTCTTTGGGGTCAAACGAAGTGTGGACACGATGCTCAAAGTTCTGCGGAGCTGAGATCTCAGGGCGTTTCTTCTTCTTCTTGCGGAACATGATGTCTGAATGAGAGAAGGCAATGCCATCAGTGCTCCTGAACGTGTGGATCATAGAATCACAGAATGGCCTGGGCTGAAAAGGACCGCAATGATCATTTAGTTTCAACCCCCCTGCTATGTGCAGGGTCGCCAACCAGCAGACCAGGCTGCCCAGAGCACATCCAGCCTGGCCTTGAATGCCTCTAGGGATGGGGCATCCACAGCCTCCTTGGGCAACCTGTTCCAGTCTGTCACCAGCCTCCTTGTGAAAAACTTCCTCCTAATATCTAACCTAAGCGTCCCCTGTCTCAGTTTAAGACCATTCCCCCTTGCCCTATCACTATCCATTATCCAGGATGCTATCTGCCCAACCGCTAACATCATGTATCAATTATATTAGCTAATTATATTGTATTAAAATCATTCTCCAGTAACAAGTACTTGCACAACCATGGAGCTGACATGATTACATCTGTTGATTTGTAGGAAATGTCCTAGCAAACTGCTATACTGCTGTAGCACTCTAAGAAATGGACCCAGATGTGCTGCTTCTGAACTTCTGGAAATAAAAGGACAGAGCAATAGTTGAAAAAATAGCCAAAATCATTGAAAAGAAGGCAACTCTTCTGATTAAGTGGCTCCCATAACTCTCAGTTAATAATCTTGTACCCGTAACATTTCCCCTAGCCATTCATTGATTCAATATAAACTATGGCAGGTGGTAAACTACTAGCATTTCACTCTAGTCCATGATATGGTTATCACGATCCAGCAGCCTCTACAAGGGGAAGTGTTTATATGTAATAGATGGGGTTTTGCACCATCTACATCCCCAGCCATGCAGTCCATCCTTGTTGAAACACAGTCTTTGCACACTGACAACGTCCATTGCAAATCCATGACTACTACAGTAAAAGTACAAAAGAGGCTGGAAGATCCTGCTTGGCTCAGAGTGTGTTCCAATGGAAACCCAAATACTTCTTTACAGAGATCTTGAAGGAAGAGAGGCCTGTGCTCCAGGTCAGTACTGCAACTACTGGAACTCAGTGATCTGCCTCTAATGCCCCTAGGTGCTGCATAGTAACTACTAAGTATTTCTGGAGTACTGTATCCAGTGCTGAAGTTCTGAATTGCTGATCACACATCAGTCATGGCAGCTACTTGAACCACCAGAGCAGTGGCATTACAGTGATGTTACTGCTTTATACTGTATCTTTCCTTCTCCTGCTCCTAATCTGGCAGCTTCGTTCTTCATCCCATTTCTATTAAGAGAAGATATTCAGGGCATAGCACACACTGTCTTTTAAGTTTGCTTTTTAATGGCTTCACATGGCCAGGGGTCCTGTAAAATGTGGCTTTAAACACGCTGCAGCCATTAGCCCTTGCAGTATCAATTGTTTTGGAACCAGAAGACGAATGATTACAGCTAAACTGCAAGGCTGAAAAGGCTCAGATTTACAGCCTGGGTGACATCTCAGCCCTAAGCAGAACAGCAGCTCAATGCCAAGGTATCGCTTTGCATAAGCATAAGCAGTGTGCATTTGTGAATTTACACTACATGACTGTACCTGCCAATCAACACCTGGAATGCACTTAGTTCCTCCATATGAAAGCATCAAGTCCAAATACAATACAATGCATCCAATGACATTTGCTTTATGTAGTCTCCATCAGTCTTTGATCATAAAGACACTGCCATATCAGACAGGTGGTTTAAAGGTACACTGCATCACTGAAATTCATACATTGTTAAAAATAGGGATCGCAACCCACTGGATTTCGAATAATCTGTGTGGGTTTTGCATCTCACGGAGCAGGTCTGTATTTAAGCAGTCTCCTCTCACTTTGTGGCTTTCATGCAAAAGCTGTTTGTTTTTACTTCCAATATCCAGCTACAGAATGTTGAAACAGAAAACACAAAACAGGCCTTTTCTAATTTAGCAAGAAATTAATACAAATACGTTAAGCATAAAAGATTTTGTAAATCAAGACAAACCTGAATTTAAACGCAGACAGCATCCCTTTAATATAACAACACAAACACCGTGACACCGATATTATAACAACCTCCTAGACTTCAGTCCTTCATTCATTGCTGACAATTGGAAGAAATGTCACAAACAGAAATAATAAAAGTCACTACCACAAGACAAAAGCAGTCGGAGATTGAAATTCTCTCAGCGATCCATTCCTGCTGCCTGGGAAACCACGTTAGATTTTTCAACTCCAGATATAGCTGTTCCTAGATGATACAGTTCCAAAAGCTGTCACATCTGCCAGTGAGCATGAGAAAAAATCCCACAGCATCCAGAGCAGGGGGAGGGATCGGTGGGAAGGAGGGGCAAGAAGAGAGAAGGGTCAGGCTCCTAGGAGAGGGAGGGGTGGGAAGATTGGGGATGGAAGAGAGAAAGGGGAATCAGAGTTAGGAACAGAGCAAGGACTGGGAGGCAAGCAACCCAAAGGAGGAGCAGGGCACAGAATAGAAAGAACTGGATAGCAAAGCATTATCAGGAATTGCTCGTTACAAAACAAGAGTTCAAACCGGCAGACAAAGAGGCAAGCACACACTTCTTTAATCTGACTTGCCACCACCCTGCGTACATTCAGATCTGTGCTGTGTTGGTATAGATGTGCTGCACTTATCTGTGCACATGCTCATTCACTCACACGTACACTTGCTGATAGCAAAGCCAGCAGAGAGCTACTTCAGCCTCACTCGTGTAGCTTCCAGTTAAAAATAAGCTCTCCCTCCCCCCTCCTTGCTGCAGCAACTGAACTCACTCGCTGCTTATTCTGCTGCTCTCACAGATCTGGCCGCAGCTCTCTGCATCCCTCCCTGGGCAGAGATAACAAGCAGTGCCCGGGCTAAAGCAAGCAGCTCCTGTCATTGCTTAACACTCCCCCAGCTGATGATGCTGGCCAGCCAAGGGAGGATGGAGAAGGGAAGAGAAGAACTCAGGACCTGAGGAACTGCAACATGTGGGTCAGAAGATGAAGAAGATCCCAGAGAATCCACCGATTAAAAGGGAAAAAAAAAAAACCCAACGTATTTCCACATTTTGCTATACAAATCACTGATTTAACACATTGCAAGTGCAGTAGAAGCTAAATAGGCCACTATCGATGCATGCTGCGGGCATATGTGCTTATGTTCATGTACACCTATGTCCATGAGAACATGCACAGATGGCAATTGCTGCATTCCATACCTTCTAAACCCCTCATGTTTACCCCCCTGAGGATTCTGAGATGTTATTTATAACAAACTGCAGATATTCACAGCATTCTGCAGACAAAGAAAATGACAGGTTCCTTCCCTGAGGAGCTTCAAAATCTACAAGTGATTTCATACGGCAAAAAAAAAAAAGACAACAAAGGGTGGGCAAAAAGGGGAAAGAAAAGGTAAATAGTCTGAAATCTGAAATGGGATCTAAGAGCAGAGAGCCCCATACCAACAGCCCCAGCCACATTCATCTGCTATACTCATTTTAAAAAGGCTGGGTTAGATACTTTGCTTCCCTAAAGGAAGAATGGATGTTTGCCTGCTGTGCTATCACTTCCCCTATTTCAAGTCCTTTCCTTCCACTCCTCTCACCCCCACAGCTCCCATCAGCAAAGCTATGTGTTGGGATGAACTGATGGAATGCTCTAAATCCTGCACAAACACACGCATGGATTAATATTACATTAGAAATAAGCTTAGAGGGAGATATCTGTTATATTGCCAGGTTTAATTCGGACAAATGAGAAAAAGAGCCCAACTGCTTGACAGTTTTTGCACCACCAATCAGGGTCTGGAAGCCTATGATGCTGTCTCTTGCTCCCCGTTTCCTTGCTCACACGTAAGGACTGAAGCCTAAAATACATGTCTGTCTATGAAGGTTGTTTTGGATGCTGCTCAGTGCCACACTTCTAGGCATGTTTTAGCCATACCAGACCAAATTCATTCTGGAACGCATAGAAAAGCTCTTGCAGAAAGCAAGATGTAGCTATGGAGCTTCAGTCTCCACTCTAAGTCAGCATAAAGATGTTACCAAGATTAGAATATCAACATTTCAAGCTCTGTCTGCAAAAAATTCAGATGAAAAATAACATCTCATGTGTCAGACAGAGGGTTATGTTGGGACAAGGGAAAGGAGCCCCATCTGGCCTACTGGGTCACGTGGCAAAGGAAGGAGGCAAGGCTGCATGTGGGGAGCAGGCCACATCAAGCACAGCACACTGAAACTCTGAGTGCCACGTCCTGTGCTTCTGCCTGTGCTCCTCCATACCATGTGCTCTATAGCCCATGGGATGTCTGACGAGCAAACTGCAGCCCGGGCACAGAGTCCCAAGACATGGGGAGCTTAAGCCTCACAGCCTGGCTGACTCAATGCCTTGCTACTCACTGCTGCTATTAAACAACACTAGCTGATAAAGAAATTTAAATCATAACAGACCAGACTTGGCCCAGTCCCCACTCTGTACTCTATTGCACAGAACACGCGCTACCTCGGAAGCACGAGAGGCCAGAAAACTGATCCTCTAGTTCAGATCATGGCAAGATCTGAAAGTCTGCTGCATCGGGGTAATGTCGATTAAACTTCAGCTGCTCTTGCTAACTTCAGTATGCGCAGAGCTGACCCGCAGCTCTTCACATCATGAGACTTCTGCATGATAACTCCATGGGCACTGAAAAGGAAAATGATGTACAATGCACACTGGAGAAGCAGATTAAAAAGGGCACTCTTTTTTTTTTCTGGTTGGAGACAAGAAAGTCAAGCTTCTATAGTGCTTCTCTTTCTAAATGAAAACCAAGCAAGACTTTCCCATGTTTGCAAGCCATGCAATAGTACTCAGGATATTGTTTCCAGGTGCATACATATACCGTATGTGCACCATCTAGTCAAAAACAACCCTGTGTGGGGAACAGGCTGTCCATCTTGAAGCACAGTTACTAATCCAGCAAACTACTTGTTGATAGCTCTTTTCCTTATTTGATCAGCTGTCTTTGTTACTAGGTACATAAACCATCGCTCA